TCTCTTCAACTAATAGTAATCTTCAAGTAAATAAATTGACATTTATCAAAATATCATATGAAATTAATTAAAACCTCAAATTAATAAGAAAAACCACGACATTCTGAAATATAGAAAATTGTTGCAACGAAAATGAATTGAAATGTTCGCTACACTCAATTATTTTAATGCAATACAAAAAATCCTATGGAAAAGTTATCCACCGAATCTGACAAACATTATAACATTGTCAAATTAATGCCCTAGCGCCTAATTTTTATCTCTTAAACGTTCATTTGCATCTTTTTCATCCTCCTCATTATCTTTGTGGTATACTCTGTTTTCATCTCTATGTATGAAGGAATACACACACCACACACACACACACACAAACACACACACACGTACACATACTGACTGGTCAAAATCTCTGAATCAGGTATAATAAGGAAATAAACACTAAAATAATAAAAAAATAATAAAGATTATCTTAATATATGGAGAGAATCATCTTAAATATCGTAATTTATCTCAACAGTCGTGTAATAAATTTTCAATTTAATCAGTAAGAAGCACTATCAAAACTGCATTGTTTTTTGAGATCATTATCATAATCCAAACTGAACTGAAATTAGATAAGACAAATAGTCGGCAAAATAAACTTCTCTTTGATGTATTAATCCAGAATCGTCATCGATATGGTAGCAAATAAAATTGAATTAATTGTCGGCTTTTAAGAAATGTCGATTGATCTGTTTTTGCGGTATCATCATAAAAAAAATCTTCTGGATTATTTGTAAGAATAATAGCAATATCGCAAGGAGATTAAAGTGTGTGTCTCTCCTTGTCTGTCTGCCTCTCTCTCTTGAAAATTGGTTCTGCGGTGATTATACTGAATTTACAACCATTTTTATTATTTACGCTTTCTAATTAATTTACAAGCAATTTCTAACTATAAGTTCTTACCTCGATCTCACGTCTGTAACATTATGTTTTGTTAATAGTTAGGATGTTTCTACTGTTATAAGTAATAATTACCTTTTTATAAAAAAAAATTAAAAATCCAATTTAATAGATATCGTTTGCATGGAAACAACGATTAAAATTACAAACTTTGAAATGGTTTTACGAGTTGCTCGTTAATTTTAATTGTTTAAATAATTTAAAATGTGATCATATTCGTCGTCAATTTTTTTTTTATCTTTGAAAAAATCATTTTAAATTTTGATTTGGACAATTTTATAATTTTTATGTTGTCGCTAGCGCAGATTTCCCTAACGGAAACTAAAACGAGCCAGACGAAACAATTTGTGTTGAAAAATGAAAAAATTAAAACAGTAGCTAAACAAATAAATTAGTTAAAACAAAATATTTTTGCGTCCAAATTTTTTTGGCAAAATATTATATGATGCAATCTATAATAATCTTAGTTTGAATTACCTTTTTTTATGAAAATTAAAAATCCAACTAAATAGATATCGTTTGCATGGAAATAACAATTAAAATTACAAAATTTAAAATGGTTTTACGGGGACATTAAAAATTACATCATAAAGAATTTGTCAAAATCTTAATAAATAAAATTGTTTTTTTAATTTCAACCTACAAAAAAAATTTTACTTAACAAATTAACTTTGAATTACGATAATTCACTTTATTCTAACTAAGTTCTTTCAAAGACATAATAATCAAAGTCATAAATATTCACGTCACTTTTCTAACTTTCTTTTCTTTGTTCACTTACTATATAAAAGAAGAGTTGGTATTGTTTCGGACATTCAACTATCAGTCTAGCTAGAAGTTAGAAGTGTTTAATTTGAAACATAACATAGGAGTTTAAATAGAAATCAGATCATTATGGAAGCCACAAAAGCAATCGCATTGGAAAATTGTGTTAACGAAGCCATCAAAACTTACCTGCATGACTTCATTGCAAAGGAAATTAGAGCAGACATTGCCAATTTAGAAAAATATTTGGTTGATAACATAAAATGTGAACTACCAAACTGTGAAGTGAAAAAGATTTCTAAAATGTTAGCTATAGGCCAATCCAATTTAATAGATATCATGATCAGAACAATGTCACATTTCAACTCATTGCCTGTTGATCGTCAATATTCTTTAATGAAGATGTTGCAAGATTTTTATCTTTCCAGTGTTTTAGCAGAAGAAACATTGGATCACTACGTAGACGTGACGATGTCGACTTATGGGTTCAATTTCAACGCAGAAATTTTTTACCGGGACAGTTTCCGTCAAGAGAAAATGAAGAATATGAGATATTTTTTGCCGTACATCAAAGACAAGTTTATAAACGAGGAATGTTGCATATGCAGCGAAGAGTTTGTGCAAAGTTCCTTCATCTACGAAATGGGCTGCAGACACGCATTTCATTTCAAATGTTTGGACATGTGGCTCGAAAACAAAGGCAGTTGTCCATGTTGCCGCAAAGATATTGTCTACAAAAAAGAAAAAGATTCTAACTACTTCATTGATGTTAAAGAAGATGGCAGTATACTCGTCATCATCTACATCGTGACTAAACCTTTTCAATATGAACTTGATATTATATAACGATAATGTATTTCTAAATTTCATGATATCGCTATTCTGCTCGTTAATTTTAATTGTTTAAATAATTTAAAATGTGATCATATTCGATGTCAATTTTTTTTTTATCTTTGAAAAAATCATTTTAAATTTTGATTTGGACAATTTTATAATTTTTATGTTGTCGCTGGCGCAGATTTCCCTAACGGAAACTAAAACGAGCCAGACGAAACAATTTGTGTTGAAAAATGAAAAAATTAAAACAGTAGCTAAACAAATAAATTAGTTAAAACAAAATATTTTTGCGTCCAAATTTTTTTGGCAAAATATTATATGATGCAATCTATAATAATCTTAGTTTGAATTAGGTTTTTCATGTTATTACCGATTGTCATTTCTCTACTACAGTCTTCCTATGGTTGAGGTCGTACAACGCTGAGAATTGAATCTTGACGCAGTTTGTTGATTTTTAATTATTGATTTCATTAATAACTTTTAGTATCTGACCGAAGCTGGAACTTTTGTGTTCGCTGACACCAAATCCGAACCTTCAGTCACAATCCATGTTTTAGTCGAAACTTTTAGAAATGTTCAACAGTATATCAAAATGTAGCACATGGTGTGCAGTACATGCGTCGAATCAAATAACTAATGAAAACAAAACACACGATAATTCAAGGTGAAATTATATAAATTACATATACATATTTTAGATATTTAAAATTGACAAATCTTAGGTTATACACTAGAAATTAGAACTTACACGTTATATACTTTTGGTTAATCAGAATGAGTTGTAAGATATCTCTCAATGTTTAGAGTTTGATTTATAGAAAGCAAAAAATTTTAGCCGAGGCCTTTTTATATACATTTGAATTTAAGGAACGTCAAAAGTTGGCCTACAAGTTTGTCCACGTGTATGTGTTTGAGTTCTTTTTTAATTATTGTTATAACCGACCACTTGAACTTGTGGCGTATGGTTATTTCTTAACACCTGAAAAGGTGAATTTATCAGAAAGAAAACAGTGCTGGCAATCATTTCTGTGTATTGCTATGATCATTCATTTGTCTATTCATTCAATAAAATCGTTAAAATACAGCATATAACATCTCGACCTCGTAACTACCAGCACCGATGTTATAGCTTCAATACGTCACTGTGTTATGCTTTTTTCTAATCTGTTTTCCACTCTCTTTTGTGTGTCTCTCCCTGTCTGTATCTCTCTCTCTCTCTTTAATTTTGCTGGTGTGCAGTACATGCGTCGAATCAAATAACTAATGAAAACAAAACACACGATAATTCAAGGTGAAATTATATAAATTACATATACATATTTTGAATATTTAAAATTTACAAATCTTAGGTTATACACTAGAAATTAGAACTTACACGTTGCATACTTTTGGTTTATAAGAATGAGTTGTAAGAAATCTCTCAGTGTTTAGAGTTTGATCTCTAGAAAAAAAAAATTTCAGCCTCGGCCTATTTATATACACTTAAGAAACGTAAAAAGTTGGCGCACAAGTTTGTCCGCGATTATGTGTGTTTGTATTGAAAAGTATTTGAGTTTTTTTCTAATTATTGTTATAACCAACCCCTTGAACTTGTGCGGTATGGAAACAATAAATTAATCCAAGTAACTAAGTAAATAACATGTAACCGACTCCTCGAACTTGTGGGGTATGGTTATTTCTCTCTACGTGGATTCTTGACGTCACTGTGTTCAGCTTATTTTACCTGTTCTCTCTCTTGTGTGTCTCTCCCTGTCTGTTACTCTTTCTCTTTTATACTCTTCTGCGTTGTTTATATTGAATTTACAACAATTTTCATTATTTACGCCTTCTAATTAGTTTACAAGCAATTTCTAACTATAAGTTTTTACCTCAATCTCACGTCTGTAACATTATGTTTTGTTAATAGTTAGGATGTTAATGCTGTTAAAAGTAATAATTATAATTTTTTAGAGGTAATTAAATTAAAACCAAAGTTGGAAAAACCAAAAAAATCATCAAAATTAGGTGAGATTTTACTTGAAATAACCAGGTATATATATATATCTATAGAAATAAAGATTAAAATTAAGAACTTTGAAATGGTTTGACTTTGACATTTAAAATTACATTTAACCAATAAAAATACTTTGAACGATAAACAAATTAAATCATAAAAAATTTGTCGAAATCTTAAAAAATAAAATTGTTTTATTAATTTCATTCTACAAAAAAATTTTACTTAACAAATTAACTTTGGTCAAAATGAATAACGATAATTCATTTTATTCAAACTATGTTTTGATGTCACTTCTTTCAAAGACGTTCAAAGTCACAAATATTCATGTTATTTTTCTAATTTTCTTTTCTTCCTTCATTTGCTATATAAATGAAGAGTTGGTATTATTTTGGACATTCAACTATCAGTCTAGCTAGAAGTTAGAAGTGGTTAATTTGAAACATTACATAGGAGTTTAAATAGAAATCAGATCATTATGGAAGCAACAAATGCTATCGCATTGGAAAATTGTGTTAAGAAAGCTATCAAAAATTACCTGTGTGACTACATTTCAAAGGAAATTAGAGCAGACATTACTAAATTAGAAAGATATTTGGTTGATAACATAAACTGCGAACTACCAAACCGTGAAGTGAAAAAGCTTTCTAAAATGTTAGCTATAGGCCAATCAAATTTAATAGATATCGTGATCAGAACAATGTCACATTTCAACTCATTGCCTGTTGATCGTCAGTACTCTTTAATGAAAATTTTGCAAGATTTTTATCTTTCCAGTGTTTTAGCAGAAGAATCATTGGATCACCACGTAGACGTGACGATGTCGGCTGATGGCTTTAATTTTAATGCGGAAATTTTTTACTGGGACAGTTTCCGTCAAGAGAAAATGAAGAATATGAGATATTTTCTGCCGTACATCAAAGACAAGTTTATAAACGAGGAATGTTGCATATGCAGCGAAGAGTTTGTGCAAAGTTCCTTCATCTACGAAATGGGTTGCAGACACGCATTCCATTTCAAATGTTTGGACATGTGGCTCGAAAACGAAGGCAGTTGTCCATGTTGCCGCAAAGATATTGCCTTTAAAAGGGAGAAAGATTCCAACTACTACTACTTCATTGATAACAAAGAAGATGGCAGTATACTCGTCATCATCTACATCGTTATTAAACCTTTTCAGTATGAACTTGATGATATTATATAACGATAATGTATTTCTAAATTTCATGATATCGCTATTCTGCTTATTATTTTTGATGTTTTAAATAATTTAAAATGTGATCATAGTCGATGTCAATTTACTTTTATCTTTGATGAAAAAATCATTTTAAATTTTGAAGTGGACAATTTTATAATTTTTATGTTGTCGCTAGCACAGATTTCCCTAACGAAAACTAAAACAAGCGAAACGAAACAAATTGTGTTGTGCATTTATCCTTTCCGGGTTTTAAAGAATAATCATTGAATCGCTACGTAAACGTGACGGTGTCGGATGGTGGGTTCAATTTCAATGCAGAAATTTTTTATTGGGATGCATTCCGTCAAGAGAAAATTAAAAATATCAGATATTTTTTGCCGTACATTAATAACAAGTTTATAAACGAGGAGCGTTGCATATGCAGCGAAGAGTTTGTGCAAAGTTCCTTCATCTACGAAATGAGTTGCAGACACGCATTCCATTTTAAATGTTTGGACACGTAGCGTGGTTACAAATGAATCTACTGGCTCATTTGTGGATTGTGAGGTTTTCCAAATTGGTACCTTTCGAAAACAACGTTTTTACGTGGTGAGCAATACTCTTCAAATTTCGCTTTTACTACAATTATTTTATCTGTGTCCTCTGGCGGGTCAAAAGTGAATGTGTTGAAAATGTGAAGTCCTTCATCACTAATCCAACTCAGAAACATCGCAACTTGTACCTTTATGGAAGCTAGTCCAATGGAGAAGCAAGAAGAAATAGCTCAAATCTCTGTATCCATACTTTCCAGCTCTTTTCAACATTGCCTTGATCGAACTTCAACGCCGGAGGCGGTTGAAAACCTTTAAAAACGTCAGTCATTATTTTATTGATAAAACATATACTATCGTTTAAACATTTATTTGTAATATATAATATTTAAACAATTGTTGACTGCGCCATGTGATGTTTTATATGTTTTATTTAATATAAATTCAATTTATCACAAGTGTGCGTTACGATATCTCAGTTTATTCAATAAACGTCCAAAAGATACTAAATATATAAAGATACAAATGTCACAATATTTGTAAGATCAATAAATGTATCGCAACGAGGTTAAAATATTTAAAATCTGCACATGCCGAATCGTTTGTTAACGAAGCTATCGCAAATTACTTGAATGATTTTTTTTTACAAATGAAATTAGAGCAAACATTGCCAAATTAGAGAGATATTTGGTTGATAACAACAACTGTGAACTACCAAACTGTTAAGTGAAAGAGCTTTCGGAAATGTTAGCTTTAGGCAAATCCAATTCAGTAGATATCATGATCCGAACAATGTCAGATTTCAACTCATTGCCTGTTGATCGTCAGTACTCTTTAATGAAAATGTTGCAAGATTTTTATCTTTCCAGTGTTTTACCAGAATCATTGAATCGCTACGTAGACGTGACGATGTCGCCTGGTGGCTTTAATTTCAATGCAGAAATTTTTTACCGGGACAGTTTCCGTCAAGAGAAAATGAAGAATATGAGATATTTTCTGCCGTACATCAATGACAGGTTTATAAACGAGAAGTGTTGCATATGCAGCGAAGAGTTTGTGCAAAGTTCCTTCATCTGCGAAATGGGTTGCAAACACGCATTCCATTTCAAATGTTTGGACTTGTGGCTCGAAAACAAAGGCAGTTGTCCATGTTGCCGCAAAGATATTGTCTTCAAAAGGGCGAAATATTCCAACTACTTCATTGATGTTAAAGAAGATTGCGGTATACTCGTCATCATCTACATCGCGACTAAACCTTTTCAGTATGAACTTGATGATATTATATAACGATAATTTGAAATGTGATTATATTCGATGTCAATTTACTTTTATTTTTGATTTTTTAAGGAATAATTTTAAATTTTGAAGTAGACAAATTTTTATGTTGTCGCTAGTGCAGATTTCCTTAACGGAAACTAAAACGAGCGAAACGAAACAAATTGTGTTTAAAAACGAAAAAATTAAAATGGTAGCTTACTCTAATAAGAACTTACACGTTATAAACTTTTGGATTATCAGAATGAGTTGTTAGAAATCTATCAATGTTTAGAGTTCGATCAAAATTTTAGCCTCGGCCTGAGGTTGATACTCCAGTAACGATTTTTTTTTTGGATTGTAGAGTAATTAATGAAATCTACCGAATTTGTAACTTTAGCTACTTCAGGATTAATTTTTCCAATTTGTTTTACTGGAATTAATAAGAAATTCGTTTTTATCTGTAATAGTATATTTATATGTGGCGTTACGTCCTGTATCGATTTGACTCAAACGCAGCGCATTTCTTCTACAGAGTATTTAACTCACAACTCCCCTGATTGAACCGCTAACTCTGTTTATAATCCATTTGATTTCATTTAAAAAATCGCAAATTCAATTTTTTTCACAATATTTTATTCACTGAATTAACTTCAATGCATAATGGTGTTTATAACGTATCATATAAGAAATATAACCGAATGCAGTAAAGTACATTAAAGTATCGATTGAAATAAATGATTAATTAAAAGGTTGCGATAATCGCATGTCGCAAATGTAAATCCTTTAATACTTCCTGGAAAATATTAATTAGGCAGTGAAATGTCGCTGTCACTTGACAAGAAAATATTCTCTTCTCTTTAAAAATTTTCGAGTATTCGCAATTTAAATGATAGCATAGCTAACAGGGAAATTTAAAATGACAATTGGAAAAGAAGAAAGAATCACTCACAAAAAAATTCAACAAGGTTTCGAAAAATAATAACATGGAAACGTTGGTTGTCCTTTGAATGTATCAACACATTAGCGAGGAATAACAACAGAATTCGCGAGAAGCCTTTAAGAGCAAACAGCTAATAAAATTTGGCTGAGATAAGAATTAAAAGTGGAAAAGTTATTTGAACGGCAACGACGTACCAAACCAGGAAAGTGAAGTAAAGGTCAAAACATCATCAACGTGTTTGGTTGGATGAGCCCACAAGTACACATTTGATTAAATTAAATTCATCAGACCTTTTTTTATGCAGTCCTGAATAAAAAAAAACATTGATTAAACCAAAAAATAAAAACATACCTTATATATATATCTATTTTTAGTAATATGAATTTGCTAAGGCACATTAAGGCCTGAGCAAACACGAACAGATAAATAAATAAAAAACGAAATCATTAACTGGAGTAAATTTTAAAAAAATAATGACTATGGCAATGTAAGGTTGGTTTGTACACACATAAACACACACACACACACCCACACACACGGACACGCACACATACACACGCGCCAAATCACAGACATACTCAGACAAATGTACAAGCAGCGCGAATGAAAATAATATTTTATGATATGAAAATATATTTCGAAGTTCATGTATATATGACAGATATAATAGAT